GAAGTCTTGTGAATGGGAGGTTCCTTTCTAACAGACGACTCATGAGACATATAAACATATACTACATATATTAATCGCCAAAAAGACCGAGTTGCGATGCCTGACAAGAGCTAAGAGGGGAAATAAGTAACAAGAATTATTAGGGAAATAAATAGAAAATTCACTTATTTAGTTATTTGGATTCGAAGCTTTTGGGATATGAAACTGAGCAGATATCCCTTTCGAGAAATCTGATGGTGTCAATGTGCTTTAAAGGCAAAAAAAAAAAATTGTGACGGGCCTACCCAAAATGAGATGTGCAAAAAATATCATTGTCACGTGTATACACCCTAAGACATGTATATTCAAATGCATTTGTATACACAGAGAATATACTCAAAGACATACATGTGAATGCACATTATCATATATGCAGCCCGTACTGATTATGACCGGCTTCTCGATTTTGGAAACATTCATATCCTAGGGCGTTTAATCCATCCCTATTTCAGGGACCTGCTCAGAAACTTTTCCGTTATTTGAACACGTAGAGAGTCCCCCGCCCCGTGATTTATACTGCAACTATGCTGAGCAAACCTCGGATTTTTTTCGGAGAAATCTCAAATCTGCTGTGATCAATAATTTGAACAAAGTGAATACTCCCAGAACCTCGGTCACGATGACTAGTGACTAGCACAACTATCGACGACTTTCGTTATTTTTCTATGTTAATTCGAATGGATGTTAAGAATTATATCACTTTTGAGTGTAGTGTATAAAGTGAATTTATGGGAGAATAGTAATCGATTCTAAACGTAACGTGAACTAGCAGTTGACATATCATATGATTGACAGGCAGTTCAGATGACAGATGTTACCGGAAATCATCCAGGCTTAAATTCAGTGCAATGTTTTCCAAACAACGAGCTGAGTCGGTAGTATTTTTTTATGATTATGAGTGAAACCAAATTATCGCTGCTGGTATTAAATTATTAACTATTTCATCTGAATTTTCTGTTGTCAATTCACAAGAGAGTATTTTGATTGATAAGTGATTACTTAATGTTTTCCCATTCGTCAAAGAAAGCCTGAATAAGCCTCCCTCTGCCATTAAAACAATAATAGGTGAAAGGATCGAGAGAGAAGGTGAATTGCCGAAGTGTTTGCTAGCTAGTGAAGTTGTATAAAATTTCTGAAACCATCGACGAGGCTCTCTAGAACCTATCTGTGCTGTATTTTCGGCCGCTTTGAACTAATTAGCCGTAAGTGCGATAACCCGTCAATCATAGTTTCCCTGTCGCTCATTTCTATTTCGGCATATTTTGAACTTTTATTTTTTTCTAATGTTATACAATTTGTAATCACGTTGCAATAAACACCGTTCACGCATATTACCAAGCGCCACGGTCTGAAAAGTTCACAGGCTAACTATGAAGGAGCGAGGTTAGAGATGTAAAATATTGCATGTGTGACATTGAGACCATTTGTCGGTTAAATATTGAATCTGAGCAGAAAAGGTTTAAGCCCAAAATAGAATGTAACCTGGAAGATAGATAGATAGAGAGAGAGAAAGAGAGAGAGATAGAAAGAGAAAGAGAGAAGGGGAGGGAGATAGAGAGAGAGCAGGGCGAAGAGAGAAAGAGAGTGAATGCATTTTCCTTGGTGAAAATAGCACTGTCTGGATTCATTCGCTCCTAAAGTTTATTTTTCTTATCAACTGATAGTCTGGCATGCGGACGAATACAAATTTGGAGAACCATTTTATTTTTTCCTTGATAACTTAGGCAAACAAATATATTTTCTTAGGGTCGAAGTTATGAAAACAGACCCTGTAATTGCCGTGAGGGGGATCTGGTTTGTGTTTCCGTTGGACAGAAATAAGTTCAAGAATGAAGAGATAATTTTATCCCTACCTGGAGTAGGCAGGAGACTTAAAATTAATGATTGGCGTGAGCTAAGCCCTTTCGCCCACACGATTTGAAAAATTAGAATTTTCATAAAGACAGCTGTGCCAGCCCTGAGAGGTGAGATGGAAGAGGGAGGATTTAGCGCCGTCTGTGTGGAGTGGTTCGAGATGTGAAGTGAAGCAGGCTGGAGTTAGGGAAGGAGCAATCCTTGTAACTACTCCCAAGAAGGTGGGTACTTCTCAAAATTCGGAAAGTTGATTAAGAAAGCAGAAATAAGAAACAAGGAATCCTTATTAGAATAATGTGGAAATTGAAGAATCAACGAATTCCAAGAACACTTCGGCCCCTCGAAAGTTTTGGGCCGAAGTGCATATAAGCAGATAGCTTTGAGAGTTCGAAGACTTGGGCTGAGAACCCGCATCGACTGCCTCTGGAATCCGCGTCAGCTGCCTCTAGATTTCCTGATTCTAAAGATCATTGAACCCAAATTATTAGGCGAAGCACAGTGTCACTATAGAGATTGACGAGGGTTATTTTTTCTTGTACCAATAGCTATATAAACCAACTGAAGATTAACCTCATGAAACTTTCATTTTATTTTTCGTTGTGAAGATATTTTTCTTCCTTAATATAGCACCCGCTACGGCTTGAACCAGCGTTGAGATTACTACGATATTTGATCTTCCATTGCTCTGAGATCAAGAACAGAACGTAGGCAGAGTTGGTGTGTATATAAGCGGCCAGCGAACAACAACCAGCTTGGACCAGCGTCAGTATTGACCAGCCCAGATTTAGCCTCGTGGTTAAAACGTTGTCCTTCGACCCTGAGGACCGAATCACTAAAGGTGATTACACCATCGGGTATAGGCGGCAGTAGAATGTGTTATACGTGTATTAATTCTAACTCTTCTTATTAATAATTACATTGTTTCTTTCTAACTGGCATCTGAATGTTCAACGAATACTTCAAAAGGAGCAAGTCTATTTAAAATGGACAAAATTTGGCGTCGTGATGTTATACCTACAAAAAAAGTGTTTAATTCGCAACGAAAATTGATGCTGGCATGTTTAATAAACTATGGGATGAAGCTTCAGCTTCATCAACAGTGCAAAAGTAGGCAGCTGCATTTAGAAAGGGAAGGGCAATTCTTCAAGATCATCTAAGGCCTGGACGTCATGCCAACTGCCACCATCGAGGAAAACATTGATCGTGTACACCACATGGGGATGGATGACAGTCAGTTGATTATAAATCCATTTCTATTAGCATATCCCATGAGAAAGCTGAACATATTCGGCATAATAAACCGGACTCTCTGCTTGGTGGGTGCCACGTCTTCTGACACATGATGGAAAGCGCACTAGGCTGATCATAGCATAGGAAAATATGACATTTTTTGAGGCAGATGCAGCTAGTTTGGTTGGACGTTTCTTAACCTATGATGAGTATTTGTTCAACACTATGAGCCAGCGACATGCAGTACAAAACACCTGCTCCAAAGAAGGCTAAGTTATTTTCATTGGTAGCGAAAGTGGTGGCCTCATTTTTTTTTTTGAGATGCAAAATGCATCGTGTTTATTGACTATCTTCAAAAACGACACACCATCAATGGAGTCAACTTGCAGAGACAATTACGAAAAGCTATCAAAACCAAGCACATAGGAAAACTGAAGAAAGGTGTTTTTTTTTCATCTGGGAAATTTTCCAGCACACGAGTTCTTGGTTTCCATGTTTACTGTGTGTAATTGTGGCTTAACTGGCTAAACACCCCCCAATCTCCTGACTATCATCTGCTCCCCAACATAAAAAAAACACTTGACTGGCAACTAGTATCGCCGTCATGATAACGTGATATCTGCTGTTGATGACATTTTGACCAACAGGATAAACAGTCCTCTTTGAACAGTCTGGTGTCAGTTTACCTGGAAAGAAACAGTGAAGTTGTTGCGGGCTCTTAGTAATGTCGGTGTTTGAATTGGGTAAAACACCTATACCCACAAGAAAAATGGCGGATTTGCATATGTGTCCACCAAGATATGATAAAAATAAACAAGAACCAGTATTTGTACAAACAAATGATAATGTATAATTAAGAAAGGTATACAAGTGATAAAGACAATGATGTGTGTAACAAAAGAATGTGAAAAATTTTTGGTTCAAAGGATGAGAAGTTAGTGAATTTGGGTACGTACGTGTGTTGTGTGTGGATGGTTTGTTCATGCGTTTCCCCATGGGAAACGCGTTTTCCTGCAAGTGAGTTACATATTGACGTGTAAGGGGAAAAATAAGAAGAGGCTGCGAAAAATTATCGCAGTGTATTTGTAGTACAGGAGAGCTTCTCCTAGCAACGGTTTCAGGAAAATAAGTAGAGTTAACCCCATACAGTTATTGATAAGAATAGTTGAAATTAATGCATGCAAGGTTTCACGGCTCCAGGCTTTCATAGTCAGCTTACTTTTCATAACTTTGTCAAACACCTTTTCCGAATAATTTTCAACAGTTCGGGCGAGGAAAACGTTGACGACACCGGGGAACAGGCCGGAATCGATTCTACCTTTAACAAACGAAGATAACATCTACCACTACGAACAACTGGTTACACAGCCTAAAGATATTATGGTTTGTAGAAGAATGTATGGCTTACAATTTGAAATGTTGAATTGGAGCGGATTTTTAGGGGGGGGCAAACAACCTACATTATGCAAAAGTGTAGACGCACAAAAAATGCAAACGAATATAAATAATAAAAGAACAAAAGAATAATAAAAGAACTCCCGTCAATATTTTACCGGTTGATTTTTTTTCCTCTTTCTAAAATGGAAATGTCGGAAACGTATTTAATCGAAGTTTTTCAAAGATAAAGTCGGCTGGATTTTTGCCTTGACACTACTCTTCTGACACTATAATTCCTTTCCCCTATATTTGTGGAACGTTTCTTTCTTTCTATTTCATGTCTCTCTCTCTCTCTCTCTCTCTCTATATATATATATATATATATATATATATATATATATATATATATATATATATATATATATATATATATATATATATATATATATATATATATATATCTGTCTTTATATATATATATATATATCTATCTCTCTCAGTGTCTTTATCTATCTATCTATCGACCTATCTATCTATCTATCTATCTATCACTTTCAGTGCCTTCATCTATATCTGATTAAGTATGTCAAAGTCTATCTATCAATTTGTTCATATATGTGTATGCATGTATATATGCAGGTAGGTCTATCAGTATCTATCTATCTATCTATCTATCTATCTATCGTTACAATTTTTTTGGATACATGTTTTTACTACTGAGCCAACCAAAATGAGCTGACTCATTTTATCGTCCACCAAGAGAAGGGTTAACCAATCAGAAAGCTCAAAATATTCAATCCGACGTGTATAAAGGCAGCCATTTTGTTTTTTCTCCCAAAATATCTTCACTGCCAACCTGATATCGAAGACTTAAAGAATTACTTAAAAGCCGCTACTTTCTCTGAATCTTCACTGCCAACCTCTGATAATGAACACATTACGGACTTCATTGGATTCCATATTCAGAGACTACGGCAAACATGGTCTACATCTATCTATCTATCTATCTATCTATCTATCTATCTATCTATCTATCTATTTCTCTTTAAATCTGTCTACATCTCCAAGTTATATCTTTATTTAAATACCTTTGAAATAAAAATGCATTGACATTTTCTGTAATTTTGTATTTTTTAATAAGTTATAATTAATAAATTATAATTATTAATATAATTAATAATATAATTATAATTAATATAATTATTAATATGATTAATAATCAAACTATATAATAATTTATTTATATATTTCCTGTCACATCTGTAGTGGGAATGCCGGTAAATCAACTTAAGTTATTAAACTTGTGAGTGATTAATTTCTTTAGTCGTTATAATAATCTATACATATAAAATATTTATCTGCATTTAGACAAAATTGGTTCCAAGGCAAAATGAACCAATTTAATTACTCAGTTCTTTTATTCTTACGTTTTTAAATTGCAGTCTTATTTGTTTAATTCTTTCATGTAAGACACTTAGGTATCTTTCTCTATTGATTGATAGTCTTGTTTCAACTTGTTCTTCACTCGATATGTGACTTCATTCACTGTACAAAAAGTTTATCTTGCTACTGAAGGTGATTCTGATCCCTGAACAATAGCGATTGAATTTAACATTTGCGTTCTTCTATGGTAACAGAAAACAACTTTGAGTGGAATTAATAATAAGGATAAGGAGGCCTTGAAAAGAATGCAATGGAAAGAGGAAGTAGTATTAATAATGCAAACTGCTTATATTAAACATATAAATATTTTATCATCAAAAGATATTGAGCAAAAAGCGATTTATATAATACTAACAGCATGGCCCGGCGTTGCCCGTGCTTGATTCAAAAATCGTACGATTCATACAGCAATCGCTATCACTTGACTTAAAATATTTTTGCTCTTCCTTGCCTTTAAAGGAGTGCCCTTTGCCGTGCTGATGTTGCTACATGCCTTACTTCTTGGCTATCTCACACTGCCAATTTTTTCTAAGCTCTATACTAAACATTAAATCTGTTACGAAAAAAAGAACTAAACAAAATGAACACAAAACGATCAACTTTAAAAAAGGACTCGTAACTGGAAAAACCGAATGAAAAAAGAATGTTAACAACAAATACTTTTTCACACCCAACCCAGTTCTGCGGAATCAGAATCAACGTTGAGTTTAAGCAAGCGAATGAGCCAATTGGAGTAAAGTGCCCTGCAGATTTAAATTTTTCCCACTTGTGACGAATGCAGCAATCGATTTTTTTTGCATGCTAGCATGCTAGTTAAAATTTGTGTCAGTCAGCTGTTGGCTCTCGCGCTGGCCAATAGTATCTTCCTGCCTATTCGTGGCAGCCAGCTATTGGCTCTCACTCTGGCCAGTAGAAAATGGCCGCAAACAACATGAAAACTGCCGTAGAAACATGAAAAAAATCGATTATTTCCACTATCGAAGGGAGTTGGGAAATGCAAAGTCGGTCTTGGCTTTCCAGCTAACTTGGAGCATGTGCGTATAAATTTTGGTGCAAATCCGTCGAAAATTGCGGCACACACACACACACACGTTACACACACACACACACACACACACACACACACACACACACACACACATATCCTGCCTTTTATAGATAGAGATCAGGAGTAATCAATGTATTATAGATACCACCGAACGTCTAAAAAATATAAAGGGAACGGATTAATTAAACTGTTCATTGGAATCTATTTTAGTTTTGATATTTTTTTATCTCTGGTTTATTGAATCTCAATACATTGTTTCAAGACTTTTGTTTCATTGCATCTTACTATTTAAAATGTCGTCATTTTGACGGTACATGTTTCCTAGTTATTAATAAATCACGTAATTTCTTATTTATTAATAAATCCTAATTCATGATATCAGAAGCGGATAAGTAGGATTGTAAATTAACCTGTACAGGAATCACGTAAAAATTATTTTTCTAGACTAACAAAATGAAAAAGAAAAATCTTGAAGCAGATTTGCAATCACATGATTCTCGATTGATGAGTAGACAGTTTGCGGCGTCTGGTTTTGTTCGAGGCAATTTCCATACTTCTATTCATACACATTACAATGTTCGAAATAAAACACAGACATATATTGTATTAATGTGTGTTCGTTTGACTGTATGATATCCGGTGTCTATAACGCATTTCCGGCGAAGCCTTATCTGACGTCATAAGGTATTGTCACTAGAAGAAAATGAATAAGAAACAATAGCACGTAGGAGACAAAAAAAAAAAACGAAAAAAATAAAAAAAAAACAAACAAACCAAAAAAAACGGAAGTCATATCCCAGTTTCCGCCTTGAGCAAAAGTTGAAGCGGAACAAACCCTAAGCAGAGACATTGACGTTTTTCCCCCTCCATTTCTTATTATGTAATTTGTTTCTTTTCCTTCCACCATTTTTTTTTTCGTTCACTGAGTTTTCAGTTTAATAATATCTGGTTGGATAGCACAACGGTTGGCAGTCCGGGAAATGGAATCGGTAGAGCCGGGTTCAAGTTCCAGTTTAGTCTGTTGCGTTCATTTTCTCTCTATTATTCTTAGAATCCAAGCCTTTCCGTACCAAGCTGGTGAATATCAGGTGCTGTAAACGTGGGTGTGTGGATGGTGTAATGGATAAAGGAATTGGAAATCGGAGAGCCGAGTTCCAATTTCAGTTGAGTTCGTTATATTAACTTACGAGTAAATATCTTCGGGAAAAGTAAGAATTCGCCTCTTTTCCTCCACCTGTGGGTTAAGTAGTATGACTTGTATCAGTAAATCATTAATATCTAAAAAAATCTTACAATCCAAAAATATATTCTGGCTTTAAATAAACTGAGAAAGGTTGATAGGCCATACAAATAAAAAGCAATCTAATTTGATGATTTTGTACTTCTCAAACGTTTCCAAATATGTGCGTTTTACGACTCGAGCTGCACCATCTGTCAAAAGCGATGTGCTTTCAACATGAGATTTTATAAGTATATATTGTTGATTTGCCTGGATTTCTCTATCAGTTTGATATTCCAGAAGGTGGTAACCTCTTTATATTATTATTATTAGTGTATATTATGTTTACTGCTTTGTATCCTGTAGAGACGGTTTCAAACTATGGTATTTAGGCCCGATAGAAGAATTGTCATTTAAGTGATACCGCTTTTCTTAGTACATGGGATGTTCTTAGTAGGGCGATCTTTAGGGCAACTTGTATGTTGATTTTACCTCGGACACTAAAAGTGTCAATTCCTGTTCTCACGAGGTACAGAGTTCCGATTACTATTGGTCTTCATTCCCCACATCCTGGGAATCTTTGGACAATTTCTCGATAATTTTCATGGAGGTGTTTCTCGCAGATTGTACTGCTGTGTCAATAAGCATATATATCCTGAATTTCTTATCTTTTTATTATTTATTTCTTATCTTTATTATATTATTATTATTAGCCCTAATAGTAGTAGTAATTTCGATGACTGACTGTTCACAAATGTTGCAATTCTTCCCTTATACTGGGGAATTTGTGATAGTAAATCTCCTCAGTCGGCCAGCACTTTCCACAAGTCTTCTTCTTTTCAGCACTGTCGTTATGTGAACGGTTCAAAACCTTTCCCTGAATTCCATTTCCTTCAGAATTCCAGTTCTTTGTAACTATTGCTAGTACTCCAAATACGACTAGCACGACTATCATTACATCTTTTCCCAGTTCCTTGACAACGAGACGGAAATGTTTATCCATCTTTTCACTTGCTCTCCGATTTAATGTAATATGCTGAAATTGTGAAATCCAAAATGTCTGATGATATTTCTTACTTTTTTTTTTTGACAAATAAATCAAATTATCCTGCTGAGATTGGGTGATTCGTTTGATCGCCAAGGACTTTATTCTTGAATTCTATAGGACAAATTCTATTTATAATCATTGCTCAGTATGATCAAAATACAGTCGCATACACAATTCCTAGTGGATCATTGTTCTTACCCATTCGCGCCTATTTTTGTACATTTTTAAAGCTAATTTTCTACCTGAGGGCAGCTCGATTTTCAGCTTTTGGAAAATCAACATTTAACACCAAAAATTAGATTCATAACTTACTCATTTTTGAGCATATACTTCGTTTGAAAAATGTACCGAAATACTTAATTTCCTCAGATTTTTGCGTACAAACTGACTTTAAAATTTTACTATTTCTAGAATAAATTCAAAGTTGATATAGTTTGCATTAAATAGATTGAATGGAAAATATATTCAAACCAGAATTCTAATTATGAATCACCAGAAGCAAAATATGCATTTTTTTGCTGTATTCGATAAGTAAAAAAATGTACAAAAAATTGTAAAAGATGACAAAAAAGGCTACTCAATCTATGTGTTAGATCATTTGTTAGATCATAATTAAGACAAAAATGGATAAAAGTGCATATAACATCACAGATTGCAAGATAAAATGCTTTAAATTTGCTTTGTTTATCGAGAATCACATTAAAACTCAGTCAGTTATATGCCACGCATGATACGCGCTTAGGCGATCATGTATCTTTCGATACATGACTGACAAGGCAGTTTTTTTCCCGCAGTAGGTTGCCATTTCTTTCTGCGGTAGACCAGTTGCCATCTAAGTCTATAGAACCCGGCCTGTCTTGCTATTTACCCATAGCTGGTGGGAGAAGAGGATTCATACGTTTCACAAGAGTATTAGCACGTAAGTGAATGTAATGGATTCGACTGAAATTCGAACTCGGCTATCCATTACTGCACCGTGCGAGGCATTAAAACTAATGCATCATAATATAACTAAATTGTTCAGGATAATTACCCTTTGAAGTAAATGAAGGTTTTATTTGATGGCACAATCATTTAGTTATAACTTGCTTGAGTCCTGCTTTTTGTCCATATACAATTTGTGAAGTTTAAGTTATTTATAAATTTTATAAGTTTATGCCATACGTTGATCACCGGAATGAAATTCCAACTTTACGATTTTTGAACTTTATATTTAAAATTCTCGTCTTAAAAAAACGGTAAGGATTTGGAAAAAATATTTTGTGTCTTTCTTTAACATGTCAAACCCCAA